AGCTTAGGGATTAGGAATTCCTGAATGGGGGGGAAACGTTTTGTGCAAAACGAGTTTTCGCATTTCGTGAGATGAAGACTACCTATTCGGACCAAACGTTTCTTCGCCACGTCTCCCATAATCCCCCTCCCCTCCTCCTCATTTCCTGACTATCTGTATATACACGTTTTCTGATACTATGGTTCCGCAACGAACAAATTTATAGTCGCTACGCGAATAGCTCCACAACAGCCTACGAGCAGGGACGTCCTGCCACTTGGAGAAATTTTCTGAAAACATGACCCCCTCCCCTTGCCACCTTAGCTACCTTTCCTAGTTCCCTGGATCTCCCCAACTTCCTGCCACTTTTTCCGAAATTCCCAGAAATGTTCCGGTTTTATTCCCCACACTGAAGGAAAATGTGAAAAGGAAAAACCGCTTGAAAAGTGAACAACCAGAAAAACCCTCTCTCTATCTCCCAACACAAACTTCTTTCGAAAAAAAAAAAACTAAAACTTCTTCCAAGGGCAGATATGACCCCTCCCCCTCCCCCCCAGCAAACAAATACAACCCACGCCGAGGATTGCCCGACCTACGACGTGTCCTGTCCATAGAACATTAAAAGTAGCCAGGCTTTCTGACAGTGATTAACAAAATACCCCCTCTCCCTTTAGCTGATTAGCGCCCCGAAAAAAAGGAATGAGAACAGGATAATACTGCGTTAGCATAAATCGAGTGAAAAGAAAATGCGAGAAAACAACTGAACAGCACCGTTCTGGAACATAACTACCACTGAAAACAGATGAATCCGAAGACACGTGTACCACTAGGGCGACGATAAACAACAGATTTGTAGAACATCCAGCAGGTAGCTCTCGCTTTCAGTAGCGCTATATTTGGAAGAGAAGGAGCTATTTCCATATCCAAATGAACTTTAAACCAAGACGGAGCATGAAATGACCTTCAATGAATGCCGCAGTTTGCACTACTACTGTCACAGCGAGCCGGCCTCTGCGTTCCGTTCCTATGAAAAATCGATCAGCGAACAGCCCACTCCTCAAAAAGCCAGCGGGAACAGAATAACGTCAAGGCCTCGAAGAACACTGACGTGAACCCAAACGGAGTATCTCTCAAGATAAACCGCTAAAGTGACGTCTGAACGCAACACGAAGTCCTCAGATATCATGTTCCAACATTTTCAGAAAAATGAGAAAAAATAGACAGAAAAGTCGATCTTGTCGAGCGACCCTGATAGAAAGCGTCTTGCTAACCACAGTGCAATGGTGAATGTCGAAAGTCTATCTCCTGTAGGAAGAACATCGAACAATGAACAATTCTCCCTCAGAAAGAAGTTTAACGAGCGCCCGAGACGGACAGCAATGTGAAAGACGTATTGGTATGCAAAGAAGTAACATATCAATTCGGCCTTCATAGTACCCAAATAAACTCAGCTTGTTTAAAATAGTGCCTGCGCTTATGCAATATGAAGCGTGTGAATGTACAAAAAATATGTCAATTTGTGGGAACAAACGGGATGTCGTTATGCGTAGATAGGAATGTTGACAATCATGAGCAGGGAGGGAGCAGCGCAGTATACGCCGTTATACGCTTTCGTGCACTTCACACTCACCCGCGCGTCAAATTCACATTTTTGGATCATGTCTATGTTGAACTTAAAGACGCAATCCTTGACTGCATGATGTTAATCCCTTCCTTGTCCGACGTGGCGTGACCCGGAGGGGAGTAATACTATCAAGGTCGAAAATGGCTTGTAAAAACGCCAAAGGAACTGCCACAGTTATCAGTCCCATCCACAGAACTCGCGCTCCTCCATCCTTTGTTCCATTTCACAATGGCTGGCGGCGCCGGCGGTGCGATCGTGCTCGTGTAGGTACGGACAACTAAAACTTAATCCCTTCAATAGGTCAACTTTTGTTTTTCGCTCTCTTTGCCTCTCACGTTGCAAGAAACGTTTGTGCGCCCTCCGACGCTTTCACGGTTCCAAGTTTTACGCATAAGTAGGGTTGCGTCATCCACCGCGGGGCCTCTTGCTTTGGGAAAACCATTTCATTGCTCGTTATATTCGTACATCTCGATAGAAGCAGCAGTCCTTTATTTCTCTGCGCTCTTTGGCTTCACAGGTCAAGACCCGCATAACGTTTTAGTCGTCACTTAACCGGCTATGTACGCTCGCTATTTGGGCGTCTGCTTCTCTTTTGCGCGCACAGTGTCTCTTCGCCGATGACGACCTTAAATTCAAGCTGTCTAAATTAGGGCTTTATAACGGCTTCCTCTGCTCATGCTTGTTCACTAGAACTCAACTAGCACACACTCTTCGGTTTTTGAACCTCATTAGCACGATTTGCAACCGCAGATTGTGACAGCTGACTGTTCACATGTGCTTCTGCAAATGCTCCATTGGAATCGATAAGCTCAGATGCGTTCATACCGTGCGGCGGCGTCGTCACGTCGACGTTGACGACTACGTCGCACGGTATGAACGCAGCCTCAACAAAAGTCGTGGAACTTTAGTGAGTTCGGAAGAGTGCTTTCATAGTATGGCTCTGGGTCAATTTTATCTCACTGAAAAAAAGATTTAACGGACATTTTCTTATGTAAAGACGTGGATAACACGATAGAAATACGTATTTGTATGCGCTGAACGACTAAACAGATGAAAAAAGTGAAAGAAACTATTGGGTGCGCCTCATGAAAAATGGTCTCTGAAGAGTTCACCACCTTATAGACGAGTTCTTCGGAGTTCTTTCCTGCCACAGTGTATCCCAGCTGCTCCTCGATGGGTTTTTCGTTGATCATGTTCACTTTAGGGGGAAGTCTGTGGAAGTGGGACGAGGCCTGAGACATGCGGAAAGCTACTGGTGTCCTTGCGACATCATTTCGAGTAAAAGGAGCAGTAGGGACCTGCGCATCTTACACGCGGAAAGGATGCACATCTCTGGTAAACCCGGAGTACTATCGATCCCTGAAGTTACCACAAAAGAGCAAATTAAGCTTTGAGTTGAGCGCTTCAGCTCAATCGAAAACAAGTCAGCATATCCCCATGTTAAAATAGCGAATTACTGAATGTTCAGCACTTGAAAAAATAAGAGACAGAAGAGGAGATCGAATCGATGAGCTGAATCATAACACACCCACCAGCCACCATATGCCCGCCTGCAGTACTGAAGTCAATGACCGCTTGATAAGCAAGATAGAGGAGAAAGCAGCCACCCACCATCGTGACCCTCCTGATTCAATTGATAGAAGAAGATACGATATGACACAATCGGTAATAATTGTTAGAAGACGTATTGGTCCAATACAAACAATCCAACATCAGAAGGGATGCGTCTTTATAGCAGGCTAGCTCTCGTCTACCGAGCTGTGCATGTCAGGCTGCGTTCACACCTTGCGTCAGCGTTTTGAGCAAATAGGAAAGTATGCATATCGATCTAGCTTTTTGAGCGTAGCCCTTTCAGCAACGACCCGCGAAAAGTTCAAAACTACCCGCGCGCTCAAAAAGCTGCCATACGCTGGCATACGCTCAAAACGCTGACGCGAAGTGTGAACTCGACCTTACCGATTTTCTAACACACGCTCAACAGGGCCGTTCGGTACGTCAGTCTCTTCACGAACAACTGTTCGATCGACGCTTTCCAAAACAGCTCAACCTGAGAAGCAGACCTCTATGGGCCCTCGAGAAAGTATTACTGTCATATCCCGTCAAAAAGGAATCGTGGGTTTCAGGCACATGTGGGATTTTGTGCAAGCCTCGAACAAATGCGATTATTACGCACCCTTTTTAGAGTTGTTCTCAGTTCCCTTCACAGGAAACCTGTTTTGGATAAGGTAATTAATGGAACTGGAGCAAATCAAGCGAGGTTACTGTCATTTGGACATAAATTCGAAACAGAATTTCCTTGATCACAGCTGAGACGAAGTGCGACACATATAGTCTCTTTCGTTGCGGATAATGAGGAGTATCAGGCCGCGTTCATAGCTTGCGATAGTGATGAAATGCATATATGCGGAATTGAAGATATGCAAAAATGACGAAATGCAGAACTGACGATATCTAGAAATGCAGAATTGACGAAAAGGATTAGATATCGTTTTTCCGCAATTGGTTATTCTTCAAATCGATATGTATCTAATGCTTTTCGTCAATTCTGCGTTTCTGCATTTCCGCATCTCGTAACTATCGCAAGCCATGAACGCGGCCTCAGCGCGGCAGCTTTTGGCGCTGTGCTAACCGGTTTTTCTTCTTTCGGCAAGTGACAAGACCGTTTCGTATCGTTGTTTTCCTCCAGTTGTTGACACTTACGCGGCAACTGGTGGGAACGGGTTGACAGCGCGCTGCCGCGCTGACACGCCCCATCATCCGCACGAACAAGAGTATAGGATAGGATATGAGTTTATTATGTAAAAAGAAGAAAACATTCTGCAAGACTGGTCTACCTCTCCTTATATACCTGAAACCTCGTTAATACAACTGCCAATGGGCAAACAAATAGAAATCACGGATCATGGAGGGTGTTGTAAATGAAAGACTACAAAAAGAAACTTTTGGAGGCAACCGTAGAAAACGCCGTGAAGAGAGGCTGCATAGGTTTAAATGCTATAGAAGCACGATACGATGAAGAAACACTAACCACGCAAAAGAGATTCATACGACGAAATGGCGAGACTGCACAGACAAGAGACATCAACTCTGGTATTAAACGAAACGAAAAAGGAGGAGACCACTCTTGGGGCGGAGCAAGACCATTGCAGCAGACCTCTGGCGTCAATATTGCGCACGTTCCACGTTTTCACGAACTGTGAAAGTGACAGATCTTCCGCTGATGCCCTCACCACCCTTGTGCAATAAAAGGACGCCGCACATTTGTTCCACTTTAAGTTGAGATTCTTTGATCTGGGATTAGAAAACAAGACTCGTAGGACGATAGACGCTGAGAGCCACCAATCTACATGCAAACGCCGGCGTGGTAGTCATAAAACCATGGGCGATGACTCATTTTTGTAACATGTGATGAAATCTACAATCATGTGAATAAACATGAATATAGGAATTAATCGTCTATAAATAGCAACACAGATCTCTAAGGAGAGTACGGATGCGCGATGAAATGAAGTTCATGACAGCATGAAGAGAGCAAACAACGTGCACTTTCCAGGTGTAAACTGGATTCTGAGAATGATGTTTGCGGCACAAAGTCCGCTCATAGCATGAAACGTATCGAACTTGAATGGGTGGAGTCAAGATTTGTGCGCATGTTTTCAAGTTGCAGAGCTTCGCATCGCGACAACACCGCGCGGCGAAATGTTGATAGTTGACTTTCCGTTTTTATTTTTGCGATCACGAATAGTAACCTGTCCAATTTACATTTCGAACTTGTTTCCATCGGCCATTCGAAAGTCAATCCAGTTATCGCCTTTGATATATGAAGGAAATTCTTATTGATGCGTTCAAACACAATCTCTGACGAGGAGGGCGCAGGAGGCGGCTAAGGTAGCTTGGAAGGGGCCACGCGGCTAGCGGCGAGTGATGACTCATCGGCATACTTGAAGCGCGAATTTAGCGGCCAAATCAGAATAAAACAAACAAGATTACGCGGGAACTTACTTGAAGCAATTACTACAGAAATCTAAAAATTTGAGTTTTTTTGTAGTCAACAATAACAGTCAACGAACGAGCACGGCAGACAAACATGCAACAAAATTTTGTAGTTTAGGCAAGAACCTTGCAGCCTAAAACTGTTTCTTTGCACTTTTCAGTGTTAACTGTTTTAACTTTGAATATAGCTAGGGCGAAGTTATATTCATTTCCTAAACACGAAATTACTCTCCTCATCATTACGGACTGTCGGGGCGTATCAGCCAGTAGGAGTGCGCACACTGTTTGAAGCCGTTCTCAGCCTTTTCGTTGAAACGCGTATGCGACAAAAAGTGGTAGAAAACGAGTAATACGAAGGATATAATGCTGTCATGTCATTTGCTCGCTTCAACAACTGGTGCAGAAAGACTTTGGCACCGCGGAAAACGCAGCCGCACTGACCCGCCCCGACAGTCCGTAATGATGAGAGTACTTCTATTTTGCCGAGGAGGGAGCAGAAGAGCAGATGAGTCATCGCTCGCAGCGAGCCGCGTGGCCCCTCCCAACTACGTTAGCGCCCAAAAAAGCATCCTCCCCCACGTTAGCCCGTTGCGCATTCTACTCCAGAAAATAGGGTGAAAGTTGTAATTTATTTTTGGAGACCTGGGGAAGGGCTAACGGCCCAAAATGTTATCGCATAAAATGTAATGCGGATTCATTCAATCAGAAGCTAAAGAAAAATGGAAGTATGAAAAAAGAGGAAAAGGAACAGCTAGATTTCGTGCCAAAGTAAGGAGTCAGAGGTCAGACTCTGTTCTTCGTGGCACTGTTTTACAGTTTTACAGCTTCTTCGAAGAAGTTTCACTCGGTATATTCCACATTAACTTGCTGCCGTGCCGAAATATTACCTGCCCATGTCTTTTGATGAGAAAAAAATATGGGTGTCCATTCTACCGACAGTAATTATAAAAGCAGGAGCGCTTTCTCAATCGAAAATTCACGTGGTTCTATCGTTCGCACAACGACATCGCCCACCACACGATTTGAATTTCGCATGCTTTGGCAGATGTCCAGAAAGGGAGTGTGTTGTGAGTCGATTAACCAGAAAATAGCATGCATGCGTCATAAATAGGAGGACCGCGGTGGGCACGGGAGCAAAACATCGGCGGCCGGAATCCCTCAACCCCCACACGTCACTATTACACGTGTACCAAAGCGCACGTTGCGAAATGTACAACACTTCCCGAAAACGTGCGCCCATTTTTGGGTGTTTCACCCCTCAACATTGCACTTGGGTGGTCAACTAGTAAATAACCCTTTTTAAAGAGGGGAATTTGATCTTAGCCTAATCAGAGACCACATTTCAAAGCACATTGTTCTAAGCAGTTGGGACTCGCTGGTCAGCCGCCAAATTGGAGTTCGTTCGTACTTCGCGTCAGCACTTTGAGCGTCACCGATTTGAGCGACTAAGAATGTATAAATCGATTACCCTCAAAACGTCGGCAGACGATAAAAACGCTGAATCGGTACCTATTACATACTTATATATTTTCATAGTCACCCAGAACGCTCAAAAAGCTGACAGATCCTCAAGACGCTGCCGCAAAGTACGAACGCACACTTGGGCAGAAAAAGCTACGATATCATAATAGGTTTGCTACTTACAAACCGGCCAATAAAGCCTCATCTTGACTGAGCCAGACACGACCCCTGTGGGTATTCTCCAACGTTGGAAGTGCACGGTACATGCATCGCTAAATTGACAGGGATAAAACAGTATCGTCAGGTTCCCTATTTGTTTGCAATGTAGGCCATTTCCCACAATACTTTCCCGCAATACGGACTTGGAACTGCGATGAGATGGAAGGGCTTATCATGATACTTTTTCTCCCTGGCGCGCTCATTTGGATCGTTTAATTGTCAGCGAACATCTGTTGCACCATTGAATCCTCACCCATTCGTACTGGTTTTACTTGTTAGGAGACACAAGCAGCTCTTAGGAGCACCTACGCCATAAGAAATCGTAAAATTTGGGGGCAGAGGACTTAGGAGTACTTCTATAGATTTTCCTACATATGTGGATATATCCGAAAGTGCAGCCCACACACCGAAGATAGTGTGCCCGCGTCATCTATTGGAACATGGGAAGATGCGTTTTTGTAAGATATTTCCTTGGGACAATTGTCGTCCTGTATTCTAGCTGAAGTCAGGATTACAGTTG